AGACTCAGAAGCAGGCTCCAGGATCTGAGCTATCAGCACAGAGCCTGACGTAGGGCTCCAGCCCACAAACCATGAGATTATGACCTGAGCTGAAGTCAGAAGCTTAACTGAATGAGCCACCCAGGTGCCCCTCTCTGTTGCTAAATACTTTTGAGTTTGCTTATTATGTTGAGACACACAAGCAACAAAATATACCATCACTGTTGTTATTTTACACTATGGTAACTTTGCCCTAGGTCTTTAAGGTGCACTCATGTTGTTGCATGGGACTCATTTAGACATCCAAGAAAGCACATACTACCTTCTTTCCAGTCCACTAAATTGTCTTTTAGTATATGAATCTATTAAAATGTGTGGTAATTGGGCTGTTTCTTTGTATTCCAAAATATTTATTTTTTTAAAATTTTTAATGTTTTTATTTATTGCTGAGAGACAGCGTGAGCAGGGGAGGGTCAGAGAGAGAGGGAGACACAGAATGTGAAGCAGGTTCCAGGCTCTGAGCTAGCTGTCAGCACAGAGCCCAACACAGGGCTTGAACCCACGAACTGTGAGATCATGACCTGAACCGAAGTCGGATGCTCAACCTAAGCCACCCAGGCGCCCCTATATTCCAAATATTTAAATAGTTTATTTTAATTGATTCTTATTTTAGCATTCCAGGGTATCAGAAGGAAAATTTTAGTAATTCTTTTAAAAATAGTTACACATTTAAAAGAAACTATATAGATATAATAATTGCACAACAATGTGAATATACTAAATGCCAATGAATTGTGTACTTAAAATGGTTGATTTTATTTGAAATGAATTTCACCTCAGTAAAAAGAAGTCTTAGCTGTTTAAGGGGATGGGCAAAATAGAGGAAAGGGGTTAAAGGGTGTAGACTTACGGTTATATAAAATAAAATAGGATACAATCTATAGTTTTGGGGGATGTAGTTAATATGTGGAACATTGTATGGTAAGTGATGGTAGCGAGATTTATTGTGATGGTGATTACTCCCTGATATATGCAAATATTGGGTCACTATGTTGTACACTTGAAAGTAATATAATACTGTATGTCAACTATATTTCAATAAAAAAATAAATAAAACTAAAAAAATGTTAAGTCAGAAAGATTTTTAAAAATCATGTACCCCTGGGCTCCTGGGTGGCTCCGTGGGTTGAGCCTCTGTCTCTTGATTTAGCTCAGTTCGTAGGGGTCATGGAGTCAAGCCCCATGTAGGCTCTGCACTGAGCATGGACCTTGCTTAGGATTCCCTCCCTCCCTCTCTCCCTCCCTCCCTCCCTCTTTCTCTCCCCCCATCCCCTCCCTCCTTCCTCCTCCTCCTCCTTGCCTTCCTCTCCTACTCACATGCGTGCACGTTCTCTAAATACATAGATACATATGTACATACATACATAAATATCATGTACCCTGTCACTTATACCTGTAATATAATAAAATATATTTCCATATATTGGGTATATTTGAATGAATGAAAATATTTCAGATTCTACATTTAAGTGACATAATAGAGTATATGTATTTGTCTGACTTATTTCACTTAGCATAATGTCTAGGTAATTGATAATTTGTATGCCATTGTAAACAACATCCTTTAAAATTTTTTTGTTGGTTATAGAAATTCAGTTCACTTGTGTTTATTGACATTGTGGCCAGCATCTTTCCTAACTTCCTTAATTTCCAATTCTGTTTATAGATTCTTTGGAATTTCAAAATATATGCACATTAACGTCTGGGAATAATAAAAGGTTTATTACTTCCTAGTCGTTGTGCATTTTCTTTTTCCTGCCCTACTTAACTGGCTTGGATTTACAGTAAAATGTTAAATAGGCATGATGAGAGTGATCATCCTAATTCATCCCCAATCCCTAATTTCATTGGTAGGTATATTTATCAGACTGTTCATTTCTAATCATTAGTAAGAGAATTTTCTACTTATTATGGATTGACATTAGATTTCATCATCTATTGAGGTAATGTGTGATGTTTTTCCTTTCTTTTTTTAATGTGCTGAATTTTACAGACCATTAATTTTCTGAATGTTCATTCAGCCAGTCTTTTATCACTGGAGTAAACCCAGTTTTATCATGATGCATAACTTCTTTTATGTATTGAGAGTTTTCTTTTGCTAATATTTTCTTTGGAATTTTTTCATCTACATTAATGAGTCAAGGTTGCCTGCACTTTGTTAAACATTCTTTTTAGGTTTGGTATCTAGGTCATGTATGCCTCACTAAAGTAACTGAGAGAAGTGGTTCCTAAGTCTTGGTTTATTTTCCGAATCTTGTGTGAGAGTGTCATCGTATATTTTCTGGATATTGTGTGAGAGTGTCATTATTTCTTCCTTAAATGTATGGTAGATGTCATCAGTGAAGCCATCTGTGCCTACAGTTTCGAGGAGGACATTGTATTATAGATTCAGTATGTATGATGCATTTTTTACCGTCTCTTTGGCCTGGGTGGATCTTAGAACACGTAAACACCATTTTCCCTCAACTTAAGTGCCTACATTATTGTGTATGTTAGGCCTAGCAATACATTATATAGTTAGTGTTCATTTAGATTGACTGACTCATTTATTCTGTTAATCTTCAACTCAGGTTTTCCATCTGGGATCATTTTCCATCTGAGGAAGTTCCTTTAGTATTTCCTCTAGTGTACATCTGCTGGTGTTGCATTATCTCATTTTTACCTGAAAATATATTTACTCCACCTTCATACTAGAAGAGTATTTTTCTTGGAAATGATATTCTAGATTGGCAGTTTCTTTCTTGCAGTACTTTCAAGCCAGACTTCACTGTCCTATTGTTTACATTGAGCAGTTAAGCTGTCAGCCTTATTTTTATCTTGAAAAGTAATCATTTCCATTCTTCTTTGGTTGTTTTAAGTTTTCAAGAATTTTACTATGACATGCCTATTCATGGATTTCTTTTTATTTATTCTACTTAGTTTTCATGGGCTTTGATTTTATGTTCTTAGTTCGGGTTTGAAAAATTATCAGCCATTTCATCAAATATGACTTCTGCTCAGTCTTTCCCTCTTCTTTTTCTGGCACGTTAGTCGTTACATTATTCTCAGTGTTTCATCCTCTTTTCTCTATTTGCCACTCTTTTTGTCTCCCTTCATTCTAGATATTTTCTTCTGAAATACCGTCAATGTATCCAGTGTGCTGTTAAATCCATCTTTGAATAAGCAATTTGTTTGGTATTTTTAGTTTAGTCTAGTTTTTGTTTTTTTAGGTTTCAGTTCTCTGTTGGAACTTCCAGTCTTGTCTTTTATTACCCGAAGAAGCAGTAATCAGAGTTTATTAAAGTCTGTCTCAAGTTCCATTTGGTCTGTTTCAGTGATCTCTTGTTTCTCTTGGTGTTTAGTTTTCTTGCCTCTTTATGTATTTGTTTTTTATTGTTTACCATACATTTTGTTTATGAATATTTATGGAAATAATTTGAAGTCTCAGGTATTTCTTTCTTCAGGTTGGGTTTACATTTGCTTCTGTTATCTGAGCCAGCAGCAGTCTTTTATCATTTAAGTCCAGATTCAGAGATTGGGATGATTCACAGTTGAATTGTTCTTCCCTTGGGAACCTATCTGTCTAGGTTCCCCTCTATGCCTGTGATGTGTTCCCAGGATTAAAGCAGCCTTAAATGTGAAACTCCCCTTCCAGGATCTCCATGTTATTTTATATCATGTTATTTTTCACTTTTGCTTGTTACCGCAAACATCTTCAAGCAAATGTCTTTTAAACTATGCTTGTTTAAATATCAAGAGATAGGGATCTAGAGAGTATAATGCTAAGTGAAATAAGTTAGAGAAAGACAAATACCATATGATTTCACTCATATGTGGAATTTAAGAAACAAAACAAATGAAGAAGGTGGGAGGGAGGATCAAACCAAAAAACAGACCCTTAAATATAGAGAACAAACAGGTAGTTACCAGAGGGGAGGTGGGTGGGGCGTATGGGTGAAACAGGTGAAGGGGATTAAGAGTACACTTACCATGATGAGCACTGAGTAATGTGTAGAATTTTGAATCCCTGTATTGTACACCTGAAACTAATATAACACTGTATGTTAACTATACTAAAATTAAAAAACAAATTAAAAAAATAAAAATAAAATTGCTTGTCTTCATCAGGAAGAGTTTGCCTACCATTTGGAAGCAGAGGTCTTGTTTCAGTCTTAGTGTGACTGTATTAGGAATTAATTCTCTTGGAGAAACATGACATATTATTTCCTCCAAAAAATTATTTTCTCCAACTTTTCATATATATTGCAGTTCTGGGATTTCGATATAGATAATGTATTCAAAGCCTTTGTTCTTTTTTACTCCATGATCCAATATTTTGAGACTGTGAATGACATGCAAAAGCTACCTTAGAGATCTAGAGCCATGTTGCACATATCGGGCAAGGTATACCATAGAATGTTATTCATGTTTTTGCTTTCATTAGGTGTGATCAAAGCACAATAGTATGTGTACCTCTTATTAAGTACTGAGCTCTTTATTGATAATTAAGTCACAATGAATGCCTTGTATTATATATAAATTTAAATATTTATAATAGTGCTTAAATGGAAAACAGTAACATAAAAAGATAGGGATATCCTATAATTTTGAAATATAAAATTGTGATTTGGATATTTATTTTGTAGAAACAAAGCAAAATTCACAACACTTAACTCACCATTTTTGTATTTACTACTTTGTCAACTTTATATTCCTGTTCTTTGAAGTGTTGCCGTATTCAGAGCTTAATTTCTGGATATTCTGTTCTGTTCTGTTCTTTCTTTTGAGAAAGAATATCCACTTGAGAGGGACCTGGAGTAAAGCCTGATATTACGGGAAATATTTGTTGAATGAAGGCAAATGTAGTAATAGTAATTGTTTGTGTATGCATTTTGTGGAAGGAATAGAAAATGTTGATGCTTTGAATTCCTTCTCCTTTTATTTATAAGTTGTCAGTAATCTTCTCTTTCTTTCTAACTTAGGGATAAAGCAATTCCTAACAAAGTGGGGACATATTGTATCCAGTTTGGTTTTATGATGGATAAAGCAAATATTCTTAACAGTGAACAGGTTTGCTTACTCTTCATATATATTGTAGTTGGCTTTACATTTTCTTGCTTAGTGTAGGATTAAAATGGTTTTGTTTAAAAGTGAATTAATTATAGGATGCAAAGTATAAAAAATGCAAATGTCAGGTATATTAAAATAGAATATATTTAAATTATTTTGATTAGTATGAACTGTTGCAGAAGTTACTTTTTCCATTTCTCTTTTTTCAAAGACCTCCAATAAGCATTTTAGTGTATATCATTGTAAGGTTGCTTCTGTCAACCATACGTGAAAATTTTTCAGTTAATAACATTTTAGGTACTCGTAATTCTGAATAGTGAAATGTAAGGTAATTTTGATATACATCATCTCTATTCAATATGTTAGTGTACTGAATTTTTAAAAATCTGTATTTTTTTTTTTTATTTTAAGTTTATTTATTGTGAGAGAGTTGAGTAGGGGAGGAGCAGAGAAAGAGGGAGAACCTCAAGCAGGCGCCATCCTGTCAGCACAGAGCCCATGCAGGGCTTAAACTCAAGAAACCCTGAGATTTTGACCTGAACCAAAATCAGGAGTCAGATGGTTAACCAACTGAGCCACCCAGGCGCTCTAAAAATTATCTATATTTTTAAATCCTCTAAATTTGTTCTTAGATGACTGTTAACACTGAAAAATACATCTCTGAATTTATCTTTTCTGAATTTTAAAAAGTGAGTTGATTCGTTTTAGGAGATTATTTAGGAGATTAATGGAGATCTGTTTTAGAAGGTAACATTTTATTTAGTATATGCTAGCATTATTTCTTGTCTTACTCTTAAATATGAAACCATCAATATATCATTCATCACAATGCTGCTTTTATTTTATAAGATTATAGTTGATGTTCTACCTAATCAACCTGTGAAGTTAGTTCCTAAAATCCAGCCAGCTACACCAGCTGTTTCAAATGTTCGCTCAGTTGCCAGTAGGACGTTGGCCAAAGATTTACATCTTATTATTACGGTAATGTTTATTTACTTACAAAATTGCAAAGAATAAGAAATAGTATTAGTGTGCAGAATAGTTACTTATAAAGTTAGATCGTAATTATTCAGTTTAAGATAATAGGGAAAATTGGGGTGAATGAAATGTTTATAAACAGCTTTGTATTTGAATATAGAGAATGTGTAACATTATACATAAAATATATCCAGATATACTAAGTAGAACTGACTAAAAAATGTGGATATTTGCCTACCTTTCCTAATACGTACCTTTCTTTCATGTATGTATTATGAATATGTGTGAAGTAAATTGATTCCTCAGTGTCATTCCACTAATGGGACAGAAGGAAATTATTATTATTATTGTTTTTTAAATATTATTTATTTCTAGGAGATAGAGAGACAGCGTGAGCAGGGGAGGGTCAGAGAAAGAGGGAGTCACAGACTGAAACAGGCTCCAGGCTCTGAGCTGGCAGTCAGCACAGAGCCTGACACGGGGCTCGAACCCACGAACAGTGAGATCGTGACCTAAGCGAAAGTCGGACGCTTAACCAACTAAGTCACCCAGGAGCCCCAGTAAGACATTTTTTAACCTCCATGTATTCGTGGCCTTTCCAAACTTTTTCTTGTGATTGATCTTAAGTTTCTTAGTATTGTGGTTTAAAAATAGGCATGGTATGAACGAAGTCTTTTTGTAATTGTTGAGGCCTTGGTCATTACTTGTAGTGTTACCTTATNTCACAGACTGAAACAGGCTCCAGGCTCTGAGCTGGCAGTCAGCACAGAGCCCGACGCGGGGCTCGAACCCACGAACCGCGAGATCATGACCTAAGCGAAAGTCGGACGCTTAACCGACTAAGCCACCCAGGCGCCCCGGAAATAATTATTTTTAAGAGATCTGCTCTGATATTGATCATAATGAGCTCTTTTAAGCTTCTTATTAACAGGAGAGTAAGCAGCAATAGAGCTGCTGAGAATGTTAACAAAAACATGTAAAACACAGTAGCCAACTTCACCTTGGTGGAAAATTTTGCTAGTGGGATACTTAACTCCCTTCAGAAAGTTTTTTGCTGTTTTAGATAAGTGAATAATTCATCTCTTCCCTAGATCAACAGATGCATAAAAGTACACAACAAGGTGAAATTTTAAACTGGGAGTCCTTTTAATATAGAAAGTTTTAAGCCATTATATTAGATGGAAGCCTCTGGTTCTTTTACAGCTTCTCAGATTATTTCCTGCCTGTGGAGCTCTTAATCTGAGAACTGAACTCTGTGTTTGGAGTAAGAAGGATCATGATAATTTCGATATTTAGAGCTTATATTTGTATTTCTGATACATTCCTTTTCTTTTCTGGATTTAATCTACTTACCAGTTCTTCTAATTTATCTTTTATCGTTTACTTGAAGGATGACTACAACAATCAAACTGGAATTGATTTGGTTGGCACTATTGTAGCTATGATTAAAGGTTCTAATGAGGAAGATACAGATACACCACTCTTTATCGGGAAAGTTAGAACGCTGGAATTTCCCTTTGTGAAAGGTTCAGCTGAAATCACGGTAATTTTCACGTCTTCTGGTAGATAAATTTCTGTATTTAATAGTATAAACCACAGTGTTAAATACCTGTTCTTTTGTGTATATAACTATGAAGGTGTTCTAAGTATAGCATTAAATTGAAAAGTCAGTGGAAATATTTTGTGATTTTGCTATAAGCTATTACAGATTGAACCCAGGATCATTCTTATAAGCAAGAACCTCTTTTTTCCCCTGTGGATGACTCTTCTCTCTGATTGTGGGGACTTTTAGCTTTGGTGATAATATATTTATGTTTCATTGAAAAGTTACCATTCTGTGGATAGAAATAGAACATAATATAGTCCAGGTAAAATGTATACATATATTGGGGCGTCTGAGGGGCTAAGTCATTTAAGCATCTGAATCTGGGTTTTGGCTCAGGTCATGATCTCACGGTTGCTGAGATGGAGCCCAAGAGCTTGGGATTCTCTCTCTCTGCCCTTGCCCTGCTTGTGCTCACTCTCTTGCTCACTTGCTCTCTCTCTCTCTCTCTCTCAAAAATAAATATTTAAGAATGTATACATATCTAGAAAAGTATATATGGATACATATATACTTTCTGTATATACACAAACACTGCAGAGATAACCTCATGTGTATATGATTTATATACATGAGTGGAGTATATAAAATTGCATTAATATAAAACTCTACTTTTATAAAAATTTTATTTAACACATCTATATTCATCAGTAAGTATAAACCTGTATCATTGTATTATGATCATAATTTATTTGATCAGTCCTAAGTGGAAAGTTAGTTGTTTTCCAAAGCTTGCTATCAACAATGCTTTCATCAAGTTTCTTCTGTGTACATCCTTTTGTGTATGTCTGATTATTTGTTTTAGAAGTTGCTAGAAGTAGAATTGGAGGCAGAGTATGTACATTTTAAGCCTTTTGGTCAGTAGCTATGGCCAGTTGCTGTTCAGTTTACATTCCCACCAGAAATAATGTGTATTTACCTTCATAATATTACCAACCCTAAATATGAATGATTTTTGGAATTCTGTATAGTTTCCTATATTAAAAAAATAGTTTGTTACTAGTAAGGTTGAATATTTTTCTTGTTCTTGATCTTTTTAGGATTGTCCTTTGAAGCTTTTCTTTTTGGAATATTCATTATTTTAAAATTTTTATATTACAGATAATCATGTTCTTTTGTATATAAAGATTGTTTCCTGATTTTGTTTTTTTAAAATTTAGGTTTATACTGGAGTAGAGGAAGGATTGTATTCACAGTTCCTGCCCTAGTATTCTTATGCCATTAATCTTTGGTTGTCTGGATGTTTTTTGTTTTTACATTTTTTCAAATTCATTAAATTTCTTGGTATCATTTATTGAATAAATCTTCCTGTACCTATGGATTTGAAATGTCACCTTTCTTGTATTTATTAATGTTTATTTTAAGAGAGAGAGCAAGCAGGATCAGGGAGACAGAGAGGGAGACAGAGAATCTCAAGCAGTCTCTACACTGTCAGTGCAGAGCCTGATGCGGGGCTGAATCCCACAATGAGATCATGACCTGAGCCGAAATCAAGATTTGGACGCTTAACCAACTGAGCCACCCAGGTGTCCCTATTTTTATTTTTTGAGAGGATGAATGCGCACACAATGCACACACAGCATGGAGGGGCAACGGTAGAGAGAGAATCTTAAGTAGGCTCCATGCTCAGTGAGGAGCCTGATATACAGGGCTCAATTCCACATCCCTGGGATTATGACCTGAGCCTAAATCAAGAGTTGGATGCTCAACCGAGTGACCCAACGAGGTGCCCCATCTTCCTGGTATTTTTTTACTGTTGTCATTGTTCGTTTTTTTTATCTAATCCAGTGCCAATACTACATTGTTTTAATAACATTAGGCTTAAAATTGGGAGCCTGCCAGCATGCACCTGGCCTACAGTAGATGTACTGGTTAGTCTGTTGGTGACAGAGCATTAGCATTTCCATCTTAATTAGTTTCTAATATTTGAAGTTCTGGAGGTTTTACATAGTGATCTGCATCTCTGGTTTATTTGGAGAATTCTAAAGATCTGGCAATACTTGGCCATGATTCTCTTAGGGGAGAACGATTTTCCAGTCCCTTGTATTCATGCCACTTCTTTTTATCTCTTGATATTGAGGGCAGGTGTCATTTGTTACTTATATTTACACTTGTTCTTTTATTTTTGTTATAGTAGAGAGTAAAAGTGAAATTTTCTTATACTTTAGCAAAAATTAGGTAATGAAAGGCACATGTTGAAAGACATAGAAAACATGCTGAAAGTGCAAAGTAGGTTTGTGTTGGAAGAGTACACCTAGCTAGCCCATCTATTTGTCTTGTTTCGTTGACATCTCCTCCCCTTGTAGGCATTTGAAGTTGCTACCCTGGCTGTACACATTTTTGAGGGTAAGATGGTGACTTAAGCTATTCCCTTGCAGCTACATATATAGAATCTAAGCTTCATGTCATTCATATGAATTTCCACTAGAGGTTCCTAATATCCCACTGAATAAGCAGAAAACTCTCAAGTCCTTCTTGGCTTCTGGCCCATCTGTTGATTTAGTAGGTCTAAGATATGGGCTCTGGAATCTGATTTAACAAGCAGGTAATTCTCACTAATATGGATATTTAGGGAATACTGGCTCAGAACATAAGTAGTTATTTATTAATATAGTAGTAATATAATAGTTAATTATAGTTAAATGTTCCACATTTGCTTGAAAAGGATGTGTATTGTTTTCTTTAATTCAGGTTATAATCTAAGCCTCTTGTTCAAATTGTTTTCAAATTCTTTTCATTATTTGCTTACTTTATCTAGAAGTTTCTTTAAGATTTTTTTTTTTTTTTTTTTTTACTTTATTTATGGGGTGCCTGGGCTGCTCAGTTGGTTAAGTGTGTGACTTTGGCACAGGTCATGATCTCACAGTTTGTGGGTTTGAGCCCCACATCAGACTCTGTACTGACAGCTTGGAGCCTGGAGCCTGCTTCAGTTGTCTCTCTCTCTTTGCCCCTCCTCCATGCTTGCTCTCTCTCTCTCTCTCTCTCTCTCAAAAATAAACATCAAAACAAATTTTTAAGTTTATTTCTTTATTTAGCGAGACAGAGCACAGTGTGGGGAGAGGCAGAGAGAGAGAATCCCAAGTTGGCCCCACGCTATCAGTGCAGAACCTGACGCAGTGCTTGAACACACAAACAATAAGATCATGACCTGAGCCGAAATCAAGAGTCAGACGCTTAACTGACTGAGCTACCCTGACACCCCTAGAAATTTCTGAAAAGATTCTAAGTTTTATTCTGTTATGCATTTGTTCATTTCTCATATTCCAAATTTCCATTTGTGCTTGGATCCACTAATAGACTCTTCAGTTCTCTTCATTTCTGTTATTTTGTGTATCCTTTTTTCTTGATAAGCTGTACATCAGAGGTTACAAGCCATAAAACTTTAAAATAAGAAGGGTCTCCTTTTTTTATTTTTAATGTTTATTTTTGAGAGAGAGAGAGACAGACAGACAGACGCGGGCGGGGGAGGGGCAAAGAGAGCAGGAGACACAGAATCCAAAGCAGGCTCCAGGCTCCCAGCTGACAGTAGAGAGCCTGATGCAGGGCTCAAACTCATAAACTATGAGATCACAACCTGAGCTGAAGTTGGATGCTTAACTGATTGACCACCCAGTTGCCCCAGGAAGGGCCTCCTTAAAGAAGACATAAAGGAAAAGATTTTATATTTAACTACATAAAAAGTTAAAACTTTATATACCATAGTCTTACCTTGAACAGAATTAAAAGAATAGTGGCAACATATTAATAATTATTGATGCTGAATAGTGGGTATGTAGATATTCATTCATTATATGACTGTACATTAAAAATGTTTTAATTGTTTAGAAATATTGCTGTGCACACATACCATTGTTAAATATATTAAACATATTTCTAAATCTCCTAAAGAACTTCCTGCAAATCATTAAGAAAAACAATCTAGTGGAAAAATAAATGACCAAAGAATATGAGCAGGCAGTTAATGGAAGAGAAAATCTAAAGGACCAGTAAACAAGAAGCATAACCTTAATACCAATCAGGGAAATGCTAGTTTAAACAGTAATGACTCATTCTTTTTAATCCATTTCATTGAGTGGAGCGGAGAAACTTGATAATTAAGTGTTGGCCAGCCTCAGAGAAACTATTCTTACACTTTAATGATGAGAGGATAAATTGATGGGTTTTTTGAAGGGAAATTTGATAGTACCTATTAAAAGTGTTTTTAATGAGTTCCATTTTCTCATTATTTTAGAGAACATACATAGAAATACTGAAAGATATTTTCTTTCCTACGTTATAAATACTAGTTTAAAATTTTTAAGCAAATTAATTGTTCATGGTGGGCTTATAGTCTGTATTCCTTGGAATTGTTATCTGTAATTTATTTAGAATTTTATTTCATGGATTGGTCTTAGTAGTTTTACCAATTTAGATCTTTTAAAATTCTACTTCTCTATAAGTGAATTGTACTAGTAGTCTAAAACTGAAACAGCTAGTATCATTGTTTCCTGTAAGAATGTAATAAATAATTTAGGATATAACTATAATTTGCATTACTTGTTATATGCTATGGTCTTAAGCTAAATTATATCAAAAATGTTTTTGTATGTGCATTAATGAAAATATAATTAAAAAGAAAACAAATCTTTCAAGCTTTTTAGGATCTTTTGTTTGGTCCCCTGGGACTAGTGGGTCTACTTCCATGGTAACAGCTGTAACTTAAACGCAGCATTGGGCTTTGGGCATGTCTTTGTGATTGTTTTTGTAATTTTCATGCCATCAGCTGTTTCACACTGCTTCAGCTTCTTAAAGGTTGACATCAAGAAGACTTTGCAAGCCAAGATAGTAAGTGGCCATTGATACGTGTGCTCTGAAAGAAAAGATACTTTCTCTTGTAATTATCTATATTCTATATAATTTTTGCATAATCTGTTTATCGATAAGGTCATTTGGCCTTCAAACCAGTACCAAAAGGTAAAAAGTTTTAGGTCTTGGGTGGTGCTGATGTTTTAGTTAATGTTTAATGAATCTTAAGCATCAGTCATTGCCTTTTGCCTTGAACATTTACTACTTGGAAACAGAACACAATGAGATACATAACATTTATACATTGACAAATACCTTCTTAAATCTTGTTTTACCTTACTGTTTTTTTCTTTTTACAGAATCTAGTGCTGGCAGAAAATAGTCCTGGAAGGGATAGTACTGAGTATTTTATTGTATTTGAGCCTCAGCTACCAGCTTTGTCAAGAACATTAGAGCCATATATCCTACCCTTTATGTTTTATAACGGTAAGATTTTAGTAAAATAGAGGATTTTTCTTATGCTTGTGGTACTGCTTATGCTTGTGTTTTGCTTTCCATTAACATGGTACTTTTTAGTTTTCTAATTATGACATGTTTAGGAAAAGTCACAATTTTGGAATTGTTTGAAGTAAATCATCTGAATGTTTTTCTTAGATGTTAAGAAGCAGCAACAAATGGCGGCACTTACAAAAGAAAAGGACCAGGTATCTAAGAATATTATAATGTACAGAAGTTTATTTGAAGCCAGCAAACAGCTTCTTGATGAAATGAAGTGTAAGTCATTTTGTATTCAAAGGTAATAAAAAAAAAAATAGGCTTTGGGGAATGGTAAGGCAGAAAGTTAAGATCATGAGAAACAAAAATTGTCTACTTTCCTAAACTGTAAGTAAACTGCAGAACACTGCAGTAATGGTGTAAGTAAGGCAGTAATGATTGCTTATATTTGTTATTCTGTCTTCTTACGATGATGTATTCCATCATTTTAAATAAATTTATATTTTGCTTACCTATAAAAATTTGAATTTTTTTAATTAAAAATCTGAATCTGTAAGTTTAAGGCTTTTGACATGATAATGATGTTTATATTCAGCTCCAGGTTCTGGCAAAAGATATTGAAAGTATTACTGCAGAAGTGATAGGTATTTTAAATTTTAGTTTGAGTCATGTATTGAGTCTTGTATTTTACTTAAAATATCTGAAGTATGTCACACTCTGGAGGTGAACAGGGCAGCACACACTGTATAGAAATACATAACTTATTTGTAAGTCAGTGCACACACAATGTTTGCTGCAGGTTTTAATAAATTTTGTATACTGTTAAAATATTACAAAGTTTTATTTGGTTCTTGTCACAACCTTAGGCAATTGTGTAAAGTTATGTATAGTCGTGGTTTAGAATTAAATGACTTCTCTAAGATTACTTGGAGTTTGCAGTACTAATATATAATATCTTTCTTAACCATATTGATTTATTTCTCATTTTGGTGTATGAGATCCAAATCTTAATTTTAGACTTTGTTTCATTTTGAATTTCTAAAACAGTTACTTACATTTTTTGCTTTAGCATCAATCAAAAAGGAAGAAAAAAAGAGATTAAAAATATTTTTCAGAAACTATACTTTGGGGGTTATTACATACAAATTGATACAGGTTTGTTGTTTTTAATTTTAGGCCGAGTTGAAGAAGCAAAATTAAAAGAAGCTCAGTTGCAAAATGAACTTAAAACACATAATATTGACATTCCTGCAACACAACAGGTACAGTTTCCAAGTATATGTAAAAAAAGTTATTTTAATTAAATTCTAGTCTATAATTTTTCTTTTGCCATCCATTTTTTATTTAGAATGTTATAGGCACTCTTGTTGCAGGGGTACCAAAACATGTGGATTATAGTCTAATCACTTACTAGACATTAAAAGGAGGTAGCAAAATGATAGAGTGCTTTTTTCAAACAAATTGAAGCTTGTATTTCTAATGTAATGACCCCAATAAGTGAAATTAATAATCCACCAATTTGAGAACTGCATTGAAGGGGCCACATAAGTTATAACCAGTATATGTGGTGGCAGAGAAAATGAGAGAAAGTGACAATAGGTTTTTTTTTTTAACTTCTGTTTCTTTGTGTATATGAGAAATCCTATTATAAGTTGTGTATTTTTTAACTAAGATAAAAAAGTCAGTGAGGTGGAAACTTTACATTTCTGTAGCCACATTCTTTTAAAGTAATGCCTGTTTAATGACTTTATGTTCTTGAGTTGTCCAGATTGTTGATTTTTCTCTGCTATTATTCTGGGATGTCTGGTACAGGAGTAATTGGCCTTTTAGTTAATTTTTCTTTACAAATTACAGATGCCACACATTGAAGCACTTTTGAAAAGAAAGCTATCAGAACAGGAAGAACTGAGGAAAAAACCTAGAAGATCATGTACTCTTCCAAACTATACTAAAGCCACTGGAGATGTTTTGGGAAAGGTTTGTGTTTAAGCCTTTTCAAGGCAGTACATTTTATTATATTATTTTGTTTAAAATGTGTTTTAAAGTAATATCATAATAAAAAGTATCAGGTTTTTTTGTACTTTTTAATGTTTTCCCATAAATTACTTATTCTTACTGCCATAATAGTGATTTGGCAGAATTTAAAAATGGCATAATTCCATGATTATGGAATTTCATAATTTCATAATTCTTAATTTACTTTGAGGGCTGTGGCAGAAATTAGCATGTCTCAGTCTGAGGCTTGTTATCTGCTTAGAGATGCTTTCATGTCAAATGACTTTATAGGTAGTCAAGACCTTTTCATGTGACCCAAACCTCAATGAGACAACAAAAGAAAAAGATCAGAATTTTTCTGTTAGAATATTGAATTCTGGGGTGCTCCTAGAATTTAAGAAAAAACAATAGCAAAAAACTTAATGCATATTTGCTGTCAAAAGAGTGCCATCCTTCTTTAATTCTTTGCCTCTTTCGTTTTTCCTTTTGTCAAATGAATTGTATTTTCATTTTTATCTTATGGTTATTCAATCCTGAACATTCTATCTTATGTAAAGTGTTTCTTGTAGATGTTCCCAGCACCTTTAGTTTTTAATGATGTTAAGGTTTGTGGTATTGCATGTATTTGTGTTTTACTTGTTGACCTTTTCTATTTCATATGCATCTCTCCTTTCTTCTTTTACCTCTGTTTTAAAATTGAGGAAACTGAGGGGCTCCTGGGTGGCTCAGTTCCATTAGGCATCCAACTTTGGCTCAGGTCATGACCTCGCAATTTGTGGGTTCGAGCCCCACGTTGAGCTCTGTGGTGACAGTTCAGAGCCTGGAGCCTGCTTTGGATTCTATGTCTCCCTCTCCCTCTCTCTGCTCCTCCCCCATTCATGCTCTGTCTCTCTGTGTCTCTCAAAAATAAGTAAATGTTAAAAAAATAAAATTGAGGAAACTGAAACAGGTACAGAGAGATTTAAAAAGATTTGCTAAAGAAAAATGATATAGGGGCACCTGGGTGGCTTAGTTGGTTAAGTGTCCGACTTTTGCTTAGGTCATGATCTCGTGGTTTGTGGGTTCGAGCCCCGCATCGGGCTCTGTGCTGACTGCCAGCTCAGAGCCTGGAGCCTGTTTCAGAGTCTGTGACTCTCTCTCTCTCTGACCCTCCCCTGCTCATGCTGTCTGTCTCTCTCTCTCCTAGAAATAAATAAAACATTTAAAAAAATTTAAAAAAAAATAAAACAGAGAGGGGAACAAAAACATAAGAGACTCTTAAATATGGAGAACAGAGGGTACTGGAGGGGTTGTGAGAGGGGGCATGAGCTAAATGGGTAAAGGGCATTAAGGAATCTACTCTTGAAACCATTGTTGCACTATATGCTAACTAACTTGGATGTAAATTTTATTAAAAATTAAAAAAAAAAAAACTTGCTCAAGGTTACATACCAAGTAAGTAAGTGGCAGGGTATGGACTCAAGCCTAGGCAGTCTGACTCCAAAATCTGAATGTTAACCAGTGTTCTTTATGCCCATGTACATCATACTGCTTTTTACATCCGCTATATGAATTTTTTATAGTATTTCTAGTTTTTGCATGAGGATGTTGGAGTTCAAGAACTTAATTGTCAATGTATAGTAAGGGGCAGAACTTAGATATAAACCAAGGTTTCTCTCACTCCAAAGTCCATTGTAGTTTCTTTATAAACAGTTCCCTGGCATTACATGTCAACTATGCAGTGAGAAGAAAGGGTGACGGTTACTCTCAGAGTGTGTAGTCATGTGTACTACCCAAACCATGTTGCATTATTATCTAAATCCCAGATATGAAAATTGAAAAACTAAGTTGTAAATTCATAAATTGGAAAACAAGATTCAGATTTATACTTTTTAAAATTGTTATTCCTCAGAACCCATTTAAAGGATTTATAGAAAGAGACAGTCTTTATAGGAGAAGCAGTCCTGTGATTTTAGCATAGCCTAAATGTTAGGCTAACATTCCACATTTAGTGGCTATTTATAAGTTACAAAATTCTTGCTCAGTAAGTAAGATTTTTACCAAAAATCTTTTAACAGAATAAATTTTAAATTTTAAAAAATAAATTTTAATTTTAACTTAATATTAAATAATTTCATATCAAATACTTATTGAATAAAATATAAATTTTAACAGATTATAAATATATTTTAGTCTTCCATTCAGATGTTTCTTGTCACAGATCTTGAAATTCTGGGGGAGCCTTTGAAATCTCATTTTATGTAGTTTCTCCTTTGTCCTCTCAGAATACAAGTCCTCTCCTAACGATCAAGAGAAAATTTTCTACTCTCTCCATATCGTGCTTAGTCTTACTTGATTCCTCTAAAAAACATTCTTCCTGGTATTTATTCTAAAACTAGAATTAATAATTATGTAGTATAGTAAGGGACAAGGGAGATTTTTCACCTAGACTTTATAATGTGTTTATTTTTATATTTGTGAATACCTCAGTTAACTTGGATGTTTTAGTCTTGGACCCCTGAATTCCAAATACCTTGAAATCCCGTCTGTCTTTCTTTATTTTAAGTGCCATTCATCTCCCATTCCTGAGGAAGAATTCATGACATCCATGAAATATGGCTAGGGTAGGCTTAAAAGAGCTGAAAAAGTAGTTAAAGCTTGAATGAACAGAACACTGTATGTGGTACGCAAGTGAAAATGGTTCATGTTTTCCACAGGGTTGTGTTTTTGGAAAACACTTTGTATCTTTGTATCAATCTTTGTATCACCTTTGTATACAAAAAATCTTTGTATCACCTGAAAGTTTAAGGAAAGTGTAATGTTAAGGAGTCTAGTGAGAGCTTCCAATTATATCTTTGTTTAGAAATAACCAAGTTATAAGATCAGAGTACTTGTAGAACAACCACCAAATAGGCATCTGTCCTCACATATGTTGTCACACATAGAATGAGGTCACTTACTTTGATTTGCCTCTTCTAATTCTTCCTTTGTTTGCTAGAACATTTTTTTGTCTTCATTTACATATACTAGTTTCTTTGCATGTCTCTCTACTTTATTCCACTAAATTTTAGAGAATTGGAATACAAGAGTAGACATTATGATGTTTTTAACAACGTGACATTTTCATTGCTAAGGCAGGTTTTTGCAGCCTGGTCAGGTAGGAGTAAAGGATAGATGCTGCCATACCGGTACAGTGAATGAGGTTTTGAAATTGCCTCAAAAATTTCAATCTTGTTGGACTTTGAGCAAGAATGTTTGTAACTAAAGTATTTTTAAATAGGAAAGTAACTTTATTCTAAGTTCTATTGTGTTCTTATAAGCAGAAAAAATGATTCTTATTTGTGACATTTAGATTGTTTTCTGAAAGAAATACTATAATATCTACTTAGAAGAGTATGTGATGTGTAACTATACTTGTTTAATTGAATTTTAATCCTTCATATGTGTATATTATTTAATGTATTTTTATGATCACTTTATCAATTAAGATCTATCCCAATAATGTATCAAGTATGAAAAATGTATATATCATTGATTAGCTGATAATAGTCTAAATATTTTACTTGCAAAATTTATAGGAGTTTAATCTGTGGAACAGTTTTTCCAAAATTTAATAGCAGAATGGAGTTTACTGTTTAAACCAGTAAACTTTTATAGCTTGAGAATTTTCATATGAGTATTTCAGAACAATTTTTGCTGTTTAGATGTGGGTTTTAAAATACTTAATATCAAATTATTATATATTTAAAATGTTATATACTTTGTTTTTTATATATTTAAAATTTAACCTGATTTTTTAAAATGTGTTATAGATTGCACACTTGGCACAAATTGAAGATGATAGAGCTGCAATGGTTATTTCTTGGCATCTGGCGAGTGACATGGACTGTGTTGTCACCCTGACCACTGATGCGGCACGTCGTATCTATGATGAAACCCAAGGTCGTCAGCAGGTGTTGCCCCTTGATTCTATTTATAAGAAGACTCTTCCAGATTGGAAAAGGTTAGAAAAAAGTGGGAGTAATGATTTTTTCTGAAATATCTTTTCTTTTATCAAAGTGCTTACTTTTAAGTGATTTCTGTAAAAGATACCTAAAACAAACTGAGCAGTGACTCACATTATCTAGGTTGTCTTTATCTTCATTACAAATGTGTATACTTCATTAAGATGAGTATTGCAGTGAATTTAATCACATATGCTGGCCATGTTTAATTTGCCAGTTAAATATTATTTGTGTATAAGTCACACATGTGCACACAAATCCAAAGCAGCTTTTTGGCTTTTGTAACAAGAAGGATGTCAATATCATTGATGAAATATAAAACTCTTTTATTTGGAGTAGGAGTGAAGATGAATGTCTTTTGTCCTGTTTATGTCCTTTGAAGATAAGCAGTCATCATTTAGTTAGAGAAGGTCTGCATTGGAACTGCCAATTGCAAAGTTGAAATATAAAAGACTAGTTGGAATGTTTTATTATTATTTTAATATAAATCTGATTTCTTTAATTATTTCCTCATTTACTTTTCAAAATATGTTTTTAAGGAATAAACATGCAAACCAATTAGGCATTTTTATGTAAATTTAAAAATATTTTATGTGTACTCTGATTTTGACCTTAAAAGACTGGAAGGAAATGGTAAGAAAACAAAATAAAATGTATAATGGAGTATTAATTGATAATTTTCTCAGGCTCCTAAACAGAGTTGTACAATTGGGTAGGAAAAGGGACTTTAAGGAGAATAGAACCTTTATTAATATATTAATGTTGTTAAACATTTTATTTCCTTTTGTAATCTAAAAATGGTTTGAGGAAACAACTAGAATTTGAACTCTGATCTGTCTGCTTTTAAAATCTCTACTTTGCTCTACTAGTCAGTACTCCTTTTAAACAACACAGGAAGTCCAGTCAGATCATAATTTCTGTGTTCATTAAGAGTAATACATTCTGAGTGCACAATTTTTCCATTTAGGAGAACTTCTTTTATCTGTAGAATCTGTGAAGACCAAATTAAGAATCTTTGATTTAGGGAAAGTATGGATTTGGCATTTTGGGCTAATGTTTGCACTAGAAGCTAGTTATTCTCTCTGTTCCTGATATTGCGCTTCTTCGGATTGAATTAACTAGCTCCTAGAGCCACCCCTACCCTCCAGCACTCCTACTTTCAAGAATTGCGAAGACCAACACCATGTGGAAAGGAAAGGTCCTGACACTCTAGTCAGCCTCCATCTTTTGAATCCCATTGTTCTCTCTGAGTCAGTTGCTCATTCTGTATCCGGTATGGAAAGGACAGGGAACCAAAGTACTTCATCTCCCTCCCTCACATGGGTCTCTGTCTTAGGCCTTTCCTCTTTCCCCATCTATGCTAGGGCCACTCTCCACAGGAGATAGTCATCTCATTTAGGGTCAGCTTTAGAGGCTGCTTTTCTTTTTTCCTTGTTAAACCTAACAGCAGTTACTTTATATTGACTTTAGTAGCACAGATAAACTAAATAGATATTCTTATGTAGTAAATAGTATTCTCATAGTTAATCATTTAGGAGTGTCACTTTGGATAGGGAATTGATTTAAATGACCACAGTAATGACAAGCAATATAAACATAGGCTTTTAATTAAAAATATGTATTTGTTTTAATTTATTTTCATTCAGACCTCTACCTCATTACCGAAATGGAAAATTATATTTTAAACCTATTGGAGATCCAGTCTTTGCCCGAGATTTGTTAACATTTCCAGACAATGTAGAACATTGTGAAACAGGTAAAGGAAATTATGGTGACATTTTTTTTTTAAGTTTATTAATTTTTGGGAGAGAGAGAAGGGGAGGGGCAGAACGAGAGGAAGACAGAGAATCCAAGGTAGGCTCCACACCATCAGCACAGAGGCCAGCGTGGGGCTCTAATTCACGAACTGTGAGATCGTGACCTGAGTTGAAGTTGGACACTCAACCGACTAAGCCACCCAGGTGCCCCTATGGTGACTTTTTTTTTTTTTTTTTAAATGTTTTATTTATTTCTAGGAGAGAGAGAGAGAGACAGCGTGAGCAGGGGAGGGTCAGAGAGAGAGGGAGTCACAGACTGAAACAGGCTCCAGGCTCTGAGCTGGCAGTCAGCACAGAGCCCGACGCGGGGCTCGAACCCACAAACCGCGAGATCATGACTTAAGCGAAAGTCGGACACTTAACCGACTAAGCCACCCAGGCGCCCCTTAATGTGTCTTTTTAATGTTTAATGTATTAAGGTCCTATTTTGAAATAATTTTGTGATAATTCTGTGATAATGTTTGGATGACTAATCTTGTCAAAACCAAATTAAATCCTGCAAACTGACAAGCAGCATCAAACTGGACACAGTATGTGAATGAATGGGCCAGGATACAAATTAAAATGAGATGTTTTTGGGATTTGAAATTATCTCAAAACTAGTATCTACTATTGATGATACTGGAAAAAGAGTATTCTCTTTTTCTCTATAATGTTGGTGGAAATGTAATTTGATGCAGCTCTTCTTCTTAAGGCTGCTTTGACAAAGTACCACAGACTAGGTAGAAACAATAGAAATTCAATGAGGAAAGGATCTATTCCAGGCCTCCTTACTTGGTTTGTGGATAGTCCTTTTCTCCCTGTGTCTGTTCACATCCATGCATATTTATGTCCCCTTCTTATAAAGACACCACTTGTTGGATTAGGGCCCAACCTTATGACCTCATTTTAACTAGATTACTTCTATAAACATGCTGTCTTCAAGTAAGGTCACATTTTGAGGACCTGAGGAGTTAAGACTTTAACATAGGAATTTTGAGGGACACAATTCAATCCATAACACCATTGAAGGGCAGTTTGGCAGTATAAATGTTTCAGTTATCTATTGCTACCTAGCATATACCGCAAAGGTTAGTAGCTTTAAGTAATAACAGCATATTAGTTTTCAGGTCTCTGTGGGTGTTTCCAAGTAGTGTTAGCTAGTTGCAGTGTTGTCTAGTTACACTTGGGATGGTGGGAATTCCAGAGTACCTCACTCACACAACTGGCAGTTGGTAATGGTTACTCTCTGGAAATTCAGCCAAGTCTGGTCAGAGGCTCAGCTGGTAGTATCTTCTGTGATTACTGCTCTCATACTGCCATCTCAGGGTGCTGTGATATAATGCCATTAAGAATTTTTAGAGGTGCCTGGGTGGCTCATTTGGTTAGCTGTCTGATTCTCAATCTCAGCTCAGGTCTTAATCTCAGGATTGTGAGTTCATGCCCCACATTGGGCTCCATGCTGGGTGTGGACCTACTTAAAAAATTTTTTTTTTTAGAAACCTTTTGTCTACCTAAGCGAATCTAGGAAACAGTGCCTTTTATCTGAGGTCTTAACAAAGGGACCTCTTTAATTTCATTTTGATTCTTACACATTTTACTGGCTAAGGACTGGGTTTGATCTTTGTTCTGAGGCTCTGCATTTCTTTAAGAACATTTTGGTCACTGAGCAGGCTGGAGATGAACATCACCTAGCATGTCCAGGGATAGAAATACTTCCTTGAAATTATTTTTATTTTCTTATTTCCCTTACTATTATTAATTTCCTTGAAATTAGTTCCTACTCTATCTCCTGCTCATACTAGTTGATACTGGCTACTGTCTGGGCACTCAGCCGGGGCTGAAGGCTGGCAGATTTGGGTCTCTCCATGTGAGTCTCTTGTTGTGACTGCTTGGGCTTTTTCACATGGCCTCTGGTTTCCAAGAAGAGGTGTTCCAAGCAGTTAAGACAGAAGCTGTAGGTCTCTTAAGTCCCATCCTCAGAAAGTACATTTCATAGGTCAGAATCTGACTAGCCCAGATCCAAGGGGTAGGTGGGGAGGTGGGAATAGACTCCCCTTCTCCATGGGAAAAGGGGCAAAGAATATACCATGACAGAGTGTTAAAATAATTTATCTTACACACTCCCACAAGTATTTGAAGATGTGTACAAGAATATGTATTAGGATATTAAAAGAATTTAAAACCAGAAACTTTGGAAATAGTCTTAAATGTCCATCATGTTAAGATTGGGCAACTCCATTATAGTAATGTATACAGTAGAGTATGTTACTGTTAAAAAGAATATAATAAATTTCCTTGTCCTAACAAGGAAGATGTATAAAATATATTTTGTTGAAAAGTTGCAAAAGTATGTATAAGATGTTGCTGTCTTAAAGAATAAGCTAATGGTGGTGAGGGAAAGGGCAAAATAAATGAAGAGGAGTGGGGGATACAGACTTCAGTTATGGAATGAGTAAACCATGAGAATAAAAGACAGCATAGGGGAATCTGTATAGTCTCTTATACTGTGATAGCAATGTATGATGACAGATGGCAGCTATACTTATGGTTAGCACAGCATAACATATAGAGATGTGGAATCACTATGTTGCAACTTGAAACTAACGTATGTCAACTACTCAAAAAATGTTTTAATTAATTTAAAGATATGTTTATGTACTTCAAAAAATTGGAAGAATATGTTGTCTCCTGTTGGATGTGCTAAGGATTATCACTTCTATATTACTTTTAAGTTTTACTTGTAAAAAAGGAAGTCTGCTCTGAAGGATGGCTTTTCAAAGGGCTGTTCTAGAGATTGAATAAAATAATATACATAAAGCATTAAGCAAAGAGCCTGAAATATGGTAAAATTTCAATAAAAGAAAGTTCTCTTCGTATCTGAGATCCAGAGGTCTTAAATTCTTTGATACACAAGAAGTACTAAATTTAGTTAAGTATAGTTTTCGGAGCTTGGAAATACTAGGTGATAAACATGTAAGAAAAACATGATAGGCTTGCAGATTACTCTACCTGAAAATGAGTAAGAATATTTACAGTTGCATAAGAGAAAACAGAGGCCAATTTAAAATACCTACCAGTATCTACAAATAGTGTATTCTAGAATCATGTGTACCTTAGAGATAATATGCTCTCACTTTCTAGATGAGAAATTTTAAGCTCAGAAAAAATAATGGATCTGTACCAAATCGCACTCACTTATGGCAGAACTAGAACCATCAGAGAAGTTTTTCTTTGGACCAGTTAGGAAGAAATAATAAATGTACCTTGATTTAGGAGAGCTAAATTAGTGAGATTACAGAAAATTACACAACTAATTGGGGAATAATATTTGGCATACTGATGAATGTTTCCATGGGAACCTAATAATGGCTTATAATATACTGTATCAGTGAACACTCATGGATGGAGAAGCTGCTGTATTCTGGTAGTGATTAGTATGTGTATATGTCCTAAATTATAGAGTACCCATAAAATGTCATGACAACATGGAAGCTTATTAGTGAGAATAGAATTAACAAATTGGATAATAACTGGAAGATTCTAGTTCAGTCAATATTTAGACACTTAACTATGTATGAGACACAGTGGATGCTATTAAATGTTGAACAACCAGCTTTCTAGTGAGTGGGGTGATAGGATCCTGGTTTGTAGCTTTTGCCCAAGGTGTAAATCCTCCTATCTTGGCTGATTTCCAGTGGCTTATGTGTAGCCGCTGAATGAGTCATTCAGGAGAGTTTGCTCTCCTAACCCGGTAGATGCTGGCTCCAGCATACCACCAGGCCCAGTGCTAGGCACTGGGGGCTATACAAAGATAGACTAGACAACTCTTGAGAAGGAAATTGCTGCAGAGATCAACTAAAAGGCTTTGTAGGTTATGTATCTTAAGGTATGAACTGTCAAGAAAGTAAGGCTTCTAAGTGAAGGTAGAACTCAGAAAGATAAACAGAACTCTAAAAGCCCGGATTTGCCTAGAGAACATTTGTCAAAGTAATTGAACTTGAGCATCATTTTTCATTCCTTTGACTCAGAGGGTAAGAGACAAAACACAGGGCTTTAACCAGAGTGGGGAATATGATAAAAGGTCCCTTTCCCAGTAAACTGGGTCCCCCAAAGGGCTGAACCTTAGTTTAAGTGAAGAGAAAAAAAAATGCTACTTTAATCTCAACTCCAAGTGCCTCTGGAGACTACAAGAAAATTACCTCTCTTGAACCTTGGCACTAGGTGGAAAAGGGAAAAAAATCAAACCAATTTCCTAGAGAATTCATCAATGTAAATAAATTGGCCTTTTTATCTGTTTGCAACCTGCATTCATAATACTTGGGAGGTCTAAAAAAAATCTCAAGGTAAACATTTGATTTGACCTGGTGCTGGGCTGGTAGTGTCCTTAGATATCTGATTGGAGGAAATCCAGATTGTCTCTGGAAGAATTCACCTTTATCTCACATCAGGAATAATTTCCATATTGAACATAAAAGCAAATATTTTTTTTTTTTTTTTTTACAAATAGTTTATTGTCAAATTAGTTTCCAATTAACACTCAGTGCTCATCCCCAAAGTGCCCTCCTTCATGCCCATCCCCCCCTCCCCCCCANCAAGAGTCTCTCATGGTTTGCCTCTCTCCCTTTCCCCCACCATTTCCGCCCTTCTTCTCCCCCTTGGTCCTCCGTCAAGTTCCTCCTAATCCTCCTATACGTGCAAACATATGGTATTTGTCCTTCTCTGCCTGACTTAAAGCAAATATTTTTCTTAAGTATATTTAATACAATTCAAGAAAAGTGTCAAAAATAAGAAAAGAGTAAGTTAACTTGAGAAAATCAAATAAAGCTTCTAAAACTAGAAAATATACATAAACATGAAATACTGGGAAGGCTAAATAGTATGATAATTAGTGAATTGGAAAACAGGTCAAAAAAATTGTCCAGACTGCAGCCCAGAGAGAAGGAATGACTGTAAGAGGAGGAGAAAGTTGAGAGTCATGGAGGACAGAATGAGAAAACCTCAAAAAAAAAGGCTAATTACAGTGCCAGAGTTAAGGGAGAAAAGGATCATAAGGCAGTATTTGAAGAATCTAATGACTGAAAATTTTTTAGAGTTGGTGAAAGAAATCAATCCATACCTTTAGAAAAAATGTAATGTGTAATATAAAGCATATGTGACATAGCTGGTACAGTAGTTGTTCCTCATAACTAGTATAGCAAATACGGATTGCTTTGCTTCCGAAGTTTTAAATCAAGTCTTAAAATTCCACCAGTTAAGTACTGTTGTAAAGGTCTTCTGAGAAAAGGCATTTATGGCATCCCTTTGTAAATTGTTTTCAGTACTGTTTATCACTGTTCCTAAATGCTTCATGCCATTTCTACAGTCAACCCCTTGTTTATTTCACCTCTTCCTAGTCCCCAAGGCAGGTATATCCCGGAGCTACATGGCTGTTGCTCACTCACTGAATTTGCAAAAGGTGTTATTACCTTTTTTACCCAAATTCAGTGGTTAGGGGGGTAGAACCATAAGATTGAAGGATACTTTAAGAATTGAACTGTCCATGAAAGTAATATTTGCAGAACTGTTGTATAATGGAGCCAAACTGTCCTTTTTCCTGGAGGCTTATAAACTCCTATTGTCAGTCTACTGAGAAGAGAAATGGACAAGTCTGTAAATAAATTTGAGTGTATGTGTTATTTAAGATGGTATCAAATCCTTAAAAACATTGTGTGAATCCTGATAAATGGTTAGTACATGAATACAGTTTATATTTTTAATGTTCACTTTTAGAAAACATAAATCCAGGGGTGCCTGGGTGGCCCAGTTGGTTAAGCTTCTGACTCTTCATTTAGGCTCGGTTCATGATCTCAGAGTTTGTGTGATCCACATGGAGCTCTATGCTGACAATACGGGGCCTGCTTGGGATTCTCTCTCTACCCTTCCCCTGCTCTCACAGTCTCTGTCTAAAACTAAATAAATAAATTTAAAAAGAAAAGAAAGGAAATCTGTAAATTCAAACCAAAACTAAGGAAAGCTGTGCCTGTTTGTTCTAAACAAAAATATTTTACCAAAGAGTTCACCACAGATTTACTTCAAATAGGTATCGTATTTAAAAAAATTTTTAAGATTTTTTATTTTTAAATAATTTCTACTCCCAGTGTGAGGCTCAGACTTAGAACCCAGAGATCAAGAGTTGCATGCTGTGCTGATTGAGCCAGGTGCCCCTGCATTTACTTTTTTTTTAAGTTGTTTGTTTTTTCAGAGAGCTTGCTTGCACGCACAAGTTGGAGACGGAGAAGAAAGAATCCCAGGTGGGCTCTGCACTAGCAGTGTGGGGCTCCACCCCTCATAACCTGAGCCAAAGTCAGATGCTTACCTGACTGAGCTACCCAGGCACCGCCCTGCATTTAAATATTTTTAAAAATATCACTTCAATGGAAAAACATTTGTAAAGTACCCATGGAATTATATTAAAAGAATAAATACTAGTCATGATTTAATATTATATTTTTCATGTTACCTTTTTTTAATCAAATTTTATTTAACAGTATATTTATAATTCAGGGACTCTTTAACCCCAATATTAGATTGAATTAGGTATTTTTACATACTATTAAATTGTGTTCTTTAGTCATTTTTAAAAGTATGCATTTTTATTTCATTGTGTATATGTACCATAATTTACATAACTTGTTGAGACATGCAAGTTTCATCTTTTATTAAAGCAATGTTTTAGTTCATTGTTCACATCTGTGATTTTTTTAGGATAGATTCTTAGACGTGGAATTGCTCGGCCATGTAAAACATTAAGCTTTTTAACACTTGTTATATTTCCTTTGAGAATGGCTGTCCCTGAATAGATTAGTACAAGACCTTTCTCCATAGCTCTCCCAGCATTCAATATGATGTGTGGCATGTGTTAACATTTTGAGTAGTAGAAAGATCTTACCTGAATGCCACTTCTCTTCATTTTCATTTTATTTTTTCTGTTTGCTAGTCAAAAACATTCTTAAAACTCATGAAATACTAAACCCAATGTCTTTATTTTATTCTCTGACTTCTCTGAAGCATTAGAATTCTTCATTAACCCTTCCTACTTACATTCCATGACTTGGCTTTACTACATAATTCTAGTCCTCCCAATTCTGACTTTACTAGCTCTTTTTCTTCTCATAGTTGAAATTATAATATTGCCCTCTAATGATTCATCCCTGTGCTTTTCTGTCTGTGCTTTTCTTCAGTGTCATGCTCTTTTGCTATCCTTTGGTCATCTGGAAAACTTGTATCTAACAGGAAACAGAGCTAGTGAGGCTGCCTTGATACTGGCGTGGCTTTCAGAAGCAAGTAGCTCCCTGGCTTGTCCCTCTCTTCCTTTCTTTTATCAATCAAGCCATCAGTTTCACTTTTTCCATTTGCTTTGTCACTATTACAGTTTAGGCTGACACTTGAGAAGTAATCTAATTCATTCCACTGCCTCTGGGTTTTTACTCCAGTTCATCTTATTACTTCACTAACTTATTTTGTGAAAATACCAGCATGATCATGTCATTTCTAATCTCAGAACCGTTAAGTGTTTTCCCCTTTCTTAGAACAATTGAGATACATTTTATAGGCTCACTAATTAATACTCATTTGCTTACAATAGGTTGTTAAAATTACACACTGCCCTACATTGCTCACCAGAGACGGAGATCGCATTCGAAGTAACGGAAAGTTTGGGGGCCTTCAGAATAAAGCTCCTCCAATGGATAAACTTCGGGGAATGGTATTTGGAGCTCCAATACCAAAACAGTGCCTGGTCTTAGGGGAACAAATAGGTAGGTTGAATAAGTACTTTAACAATTTCTCATTTGATTTCAATCCTTTGTTTGGGACTTGTGTACTGTTAAAAGTTAACCAGTAGAAATATGAATACAATATTTTTGTCTAGTACTTTCAACTTATATCAGGTAGTTTTGAATTCTATACAAGGTAGGTTTTCCTTCATTTTCATTCTTCTTATCTCGAAATCAAGAAAATACTATCCTTATTGAATAAGTCAGTATTTCATCAAATATCATACCTCCTTTTATATTAAAATTGATAACTATCCAGATTACCAGTTGAGAACTTGAGAGGGCATGACATGTGACCTTCTTCTCCCATTTTCCCTTCTGCAGGCCTGTCCCCTTGTTTTGAGGCAGCCGATAGAATTGCCTCTACATCTGTGCTTTGAAGTGCATTTACTTTCCTGGTGTCCCCAGTAGGGTGCTACCTTAGATCCTGTTTGCTCTTACTTTTATATAGTTCTAATATGCTTGGGTATCTATCTACTTTTGCAGCAAGAAAGTAGTGTGTTGCCATTATTAGCTTTAAAAAAAAAAATAGTAAATTATGGTAGAATACACATAGTATAAAATTTACCGTCTTAACCATTACTAAGTGTGGTTCAGTAGTGTTAAGTACATTCACATTGTTGTGCAACCAATTTCCAGAAATCTTTTTATTTTGCAAAACTGAAACTTTGTATGTATTTGAACAGCAGCATCTCATTTTCCCTTTCCCCATGCCCATGACAACTACCAGGGTTTCTCTCTGTGAATTTGACTAATGTAAGGCCTCATAAAAGTGGAATCATACAGTATTTGTCCTTTTGTGACTGGCTTATTTCACTTAGCATAATGGCTCCCAGGTGCATCCATGTTGTAGTATGTGTCAGAATTTCCTTTCTTTTTAAGGTGAGTAATAGTCTCTTGCATCTATATACCATATATTCTTAACTTTTATTAAAATATATATATATAGAAAAGTGTACGCTTGATAAACATAGAGCTTGCTAGATTTTCACAAAATGAGCACTTGCCCCTGTATTAAGGAATAGAACATTATCACACCACAGAAAGTCTCTCATGAACTCTAGTCACCGCACAACCCTCTCTCAAAAGGATAACTCCTTAACTTAAAACCGCACATCTGTTTTCATACCTTATATAAATGGAATCATGCAATGCATACTTTTTTGTGTCTGGCTTTGTTCGTTCAACACTGCGTATGTAGTAGTTCTTTTTCATAGGATAGTATTCCATTGTGTAAACATACTGTAGTTTATTTCTTTATTTTACTGTTAAGGAAATTGGATAGTGTTCAGATTGGGATTATTACTTCAGCCACTAGCAATATTTAAAGTAGTTGTTCAGAAAGATGGTGGGAAGAAAGTTGTCTTGGTTTCTTTTATGACATGGTCAGTCAGATGCAGGGCTTGGGAAAACAAAGTATATTATACTCACAGGTCCTAGAGACAGGTGGCATACAGTTCCACTTAAGGCCACATGGAAAAAAACACAAGGGTGGTGAGGAGGCAGAAGACAAGAGCATGGAGGATGCCTAGGCCACAGCCTTTATAAGGGTTTCCACAGGAAAAAGGAAGCCATGACAGGGTGAAAATAGCTTAGGGTTGACTAGTTTGAATAATTTTAGTGGTCTTTGGACTATAGGTATGGTCTCTAGCTGGTTTCCTGGGACCTGGACCTGAAATGATTAAGGCAAAGGAATACTGCTTCCTCGGGTGCACAGACCAGATAGAAGAGGTTTGACTTTGGATTGGTTAGTTTGCGTATCAAAGCATGCTGGGCCTTTTGCTATCTCTAAGAATTGGCTAGCTACATAGGGGGGAGTCTTTACTGAGCCAGAAAGGTTATTTAAGATGTCAAAACATCATACAGAAAATTAAAATTGTATTTGATATAAACAAAGATTCATACCGCTGTTTATGATAGCAGTGAATGTTTGCAAAAATCATCTTTGTAGACAATAAGTGAACATCTAAGTAAACTGATTTAAAAATCAGGTGAGCACCTGGGTGGCTCAGTCAATTAAGCATACAACTTCGGCTCAGGTCATGGGTCATGATACCATGATTCGTAGATTCGAGCCCCGTGTCAGGCTCTGCACTGATAGCTCAGAGCCTGGAGCCTGCTTTGGATTCTGTGTGTCTCTCTCTGGCCCTCCCCTGCTTGTGCTCTCTCTCTCTCAAAAATAAAGATAAATAAACTTAAAAAAAATTTTTTTTGATCAGAAAAAATAATCAGGGCCAATTAATCAACATAAAAGTCTCAACTCATATCACTCTAGCACTACAGTTTATGGCAGTGGTTCCCAAGCCAAAAAGAATTACCTGTGGAACTTTAAAAATGCACTGGTGTTATACTGACAGTTTTCAGTTTACATGGGCATCTTAATGTCACTATCACAGCCTGATGCATTATCTAGATCTTTGGGAAGAAAGCATTTAATTAAAGATTTGTGTGCCCTTCTTGGGCTGTCACATATGTAAAGTTAACAAATAATGCAAGGATTTCAAAAATAAAAGTCACATACGCTTCTTGATAAGTACCTTCAAAAATACACTCCACCTGTAGACTAATGATTTGGTATTAAGAACTGAAACAGTTTAATAAATCAAATGAGATAATTTAAGATTATTGATATAAAGTACTTTTGGTTGTAACCAGTAGTAATCAGCCCTGACCACTTTAAACAAAACAGGAATATACTAGAAGGAAATTGGAAGAAATTGCAGATTCAGAGGAGATTGGAAACAGCCAAGACAGAATCAAGGATGATTCTGTGACATTCAGCATCCTTGAGTTCCTTGCACCTACAGCTCAGTTTGCATTTTTTAACATGACTCAGGGAGGTACCTGGCTGGCTCAGTCAGTAGAGCATGCAGTGCTGGACCTCAGGGTTGTGAGTTAGAGCCCCACATTGGGCATGGAACCTACTTAGAAAACAACAAAAAAACAAAAAACATGACTCAGAGTTTACAACTCCTAGGAGAGAGATACTCCTTCCTTAATTAGTTGGCCATAGTTAAAATCGTATAGAACAAACAGAGCTTTGAGAAACCTCTTTCTTGTATATTGGAGTATTCACTGGGAAAAAGCAGTTTTAACCTAGACTGTCACCAGAAAAATTGTCTCCTACTAGCACAATGAAAAGCAGAGTGTTTCTTGTAAGTAATTTTGCCTACAGAGTGTTTTGCATCATTAGTATTTGATAAGAGATAAGAGCAAGTAAAATCAGAGCATAAAACAGAAGACAAAATTAGTATTTACATGTTATAAAATAAAGTGATTAAAAATAAGATCTTGAATAACATGTAAGTACATGAATTTTTTTCATTAAAAAGCAAAGGCACTTAAATTTTAAAAATCTCATCCCAGGATATATAAAAACTGTCACTTGTCATTTGTTGGGTGCTTAATATATATCAGAAAGTATGATAAAGGTAGAGGAGGTGAGTAAAGAGAAACTTGTGACGATTAAAATGACATACACACTGTCACATGATTAGTAAACTATAAAACATGAATCTATTATGTAAAGGCTGTGTCTCTCTATGACACTGCTTTATGTTCTTTATAAGACACTCCTAACAAAATATAAAGTATTAAAGAATTAACAAAAATGTCATGTAAACGTTGAATAGAAGTCCCCAGTAACAGGTATTATTAATGCCAAAGTTAACCTCAAGGCAAAGAAACTAAAAGGACAAAGAAAAATTCATTTTCCTAAAAGGTATTTCCATACTAGAGGTATAAAACTTAATGCAATAAGTACAGAACCACAAGTTTTAAACTATTAACAATAGAGCTAGAAACCCAAATTTGAGGAGCCATTATTCCATGACAAATTATTAGTCAAAAAAATAAGAAATTACCACCTACTAAGTTGCATTACCTGTACCTTCTTAGATATTTATAGACTGTGTCACAAAAATTGGTCGTATTTTCAGTGGATCAGATTTATACTCGGCTACAGTGAGACTACAAATGTTAAAGTAAATTTTACTTAGGGCACATTTTGTGGCATAAGGTAATAGAACTCTAACAATAACTCTTCCTCTCCTCCCAAAGTAACTGCTCCATAATGGAAACTGAGAAAAAAAAGTATTTCATAAAAGAAGCAAAAGTTTAAACGAGTATTATGAATTAGACTTAGGAGACATGAAGATAGCAGAGATCAAATACAGATCAAATCTGTAGGCTCAATGCTTTATTATTAAATGAGAAAGAAAATATTCAAGTCAAATACAGGAAAAAAATACATTTCAAGAAACAAGTACAACTAAATGAATTAAAAAAAGAAAAATCTTGTACTGAATATAGAATTTCTATAGATGGTCATTGGGCAAGAACAAATACAAGAGAAATATTGGCTTAGAGGATCTATTCAGACAAAGACAGTTTAGGTTTCTATATTATAAAGACATTTAACATCTTCAAATAAAATGGACTAAATTCTAGAAAATTGCAGATGAGCAAAATTGATTTAAATAAGACAGAAAACTTACATAGACCATTACCTGAGTAAGTATTCACAAAGTTCATTCTGTAGGGTTTTTTTTTCTAAGTAAATTTTAAATACAAATTGTTGCAGAATATAAAGATGGAGATACTCAGGTCATCTTACAGAGTAAATAACAAACCTAGTATTAACACTCTTGAGATGTGTTCAAGAAGTTCTTGACACAGTTAAATAGAAATAAGAGCTTAATATTGAAAGGAGTAGTTTAATGTTCCTTTACCTACAGTGATTCCTTTACCTACCTACAGGATTACCTATCCATGACCTGGATACATGTGTGATTGGTTTCTTTCCAGTTTGTACTGCCATGTTACACCTTCAGAAAGAACTTCCTTGATGACCCTACCTGAAATTAGAAGGGCTTTTTTTATTTTGAGAGAGAAAGAGTGCATGGACACACAAGTGAGGAAGGGACCCAAGCAGCACTGTCACCACAGAGCCTGACGCATGACTCAAACCCACGAACCATGAT